CAGGATACCTATCCAGAAAACAGACCACTTTGAGTGTATGTACCTGAGCTTGAAAAGTAGGGATAGTATAGGGATTCTGTTGGTATATCGTCCACCCCATTGCCTAACGGACTCCCTATCCAAGCTGGTGCAGCTGGTCTTGGAGTTGCTGTTGGAGTCGCCTAGACTCTTAGTCCTGGGCGACTTCAACATCCCACTCAAGACCAGTTTAACAGGTGCGGCTCGGCAGTTCATGGATTCCATGACAGACATGAGTCTATCCCAATTAGTTTCTGGGCCAACGCATTCTGCAGGTCATATCCTCGATGCAGTCTTTAGTACAGAACAGGCATATCCATGGGCAGAGGTAATAAATACCTCCGCGCTGTCATGGACAGATCATTTCCTGGTCAGGGTTGGACTAAGAGTTGCTTTTCACCGGGAGCGGTCCGCCCTCGGAGGCTGATAGAGCCAATTGGATTCCAGAGAGCCTTGGAGAGTTACTTGGATGGTAAAACCGGCAACCCTGTTGAAGCTCTGGTTAATACATGGAACACTGACCTTACCAGGGCTATCGACACAATCGCTCCCAAGCGTCCTTTCTAACCCACTCCAAATCATCAACCCTGGTAACACAGAAGAACTCAGGAACATGAAGTGGGTTGGATGACTAGAGCGCACCTGGCAGAAAACTCGACTCTTATCTGATAAGACTCGCCACAGGAACTTTCTCTGTTCCTATCAAGAGGCAATATGTGCAGTGCAGAAATCTTTCTCCTCTGCACATATTGCGTCTGCGGAATCCCATCCAGCAGAACTGTTTAAGGTGGTGAGGAAGCTGACACAGGCTCTGCCTGTGCAGAACCCTTTACTAACCCGACAACAGCCTGTTGTGACGTCTTTAACAACTATTTCACAGATAAAATCTCTCAGATAAGAGCCGACTTAGACGCCAGGATTATAGCAGAAATGACTGATGAGGCGTCCAGTAAATCCGTTTGTGAGATTAGATTGGATCGGTTTGAGCCGAACCGGTGAGTACCGATGACGTGGACAAGATCCTTGGAATAGTGAAGAAGATGACGTGCTCTCTCGATCTCTGCCCTTCTTAGCTGGCCATCCAGGGGGGTGATGCATTGATGGAATCGGTCCAGCAAGTCTAAAGGAGGCAGTCATTAGACCATTCCTAAAGAAACCTTCCCTGGACCCCCTGGACCTGAAAAATTACAGACCAGTCTCCCACTTACTATTTTTGAGCAAGGTGATTGAGCGAGCCATTGCCTTTCAACTCCAAGCGATCTTCGATGAAATCGATTTTCTGGATCCATTTCAAACCAGCTTCAGACCTGGATATGGGGT